GAGATATATATATATATATATATATATATATATATATATATATATATATATATATATATATATATATATATATATATATATATATATATATATAGGTAATGCATATATTTAGATTAATACTCTTTTCTCCCAAATTATTTGCCATTTTTTTTAATTAATAATTGACTATATGTATAGATATATCCAATGTACATGTCTCGATTAAGTGTATATTCTTTGAAAATTTTGACAAATGTTCATAGGAAGCACTTAATGAATGATGAATACTAGCTAGTCAGCATTATTTGACAATAATCTTGTCATTAATAAAACACATTCTATAAATTAGCAAGTTACTATATATTTGTTTGCTAATTAAACTACTAATAATGATTAGATTCCACAATATAATTTCATTATTTAACGCATTGAGAAACATATATTAATATATAGCTACTGTTGAAGTGTCTTTGTCTCAATTTTATGTACTACGAATTATGGGCCATTGATTCTCTTTCATCACCCTTAAAAATCTATATAATATATAAAAATTGAATTCCACACCTAATTAATTGACATTTGTCAATTTTAATTGATGACATGTATTTAATTTCATCACATGTGGCAAATTGATTGGTGCAAATAAATCATCAAAAAACATATCATCATTTTCAAAATTAATGGTAATTAAATATATTTTATTATTTTATTAATATATTTATATCCTACCATTTATAAAATCTCTAAATATATCAACTTTCTTGGAAACTATAAAATAGATATATTTTTGAATATAATTTTAATAGTAATTAATTTTATTTAAATTTAGTTAAATTCAATTTAAAGGCTTCTCTTATTATTATTGCATGATTGGTGATGTTACTGAAATTTTGTATTTTAATTAATAAATTTGGATTTATATTAAAAAAATATGAAGAATAAATCATTTGATATTAATATATTATACATTTTACATGAACATAACCAGAGAATATATTTTTTTAACTAATTTAAAATATATATTAATATTATCTTATATATAAAAGAAAGAAACGCTGGGCAACCCTAAAAAACCCTAATGGTATTTCTGTAATTATTTATTTTTAATATTTTTTCTCTACTAATTTCTAACTATAATTTTTAACAATTATCAAAATTAAAACTAACCCGAATCCTACCTTATTGGTACTTATGTAATTATTTATTTTTAATATTTTTTCTCTACTAATTTTTTAACTATAATTTTCAACAATTATTAATCTCCTATTTTTCATCAATATATCTCAAATCTTAAGAGATAAAGCTAGAAATTCGATTTTTTAAATCTTAGTCTATTTATTTGGATTATAAATCTTAATATGTAAGATTTAAAAAAACTAATGTTATATAAAATATGAATAATACTACATTATTAAACTTTACTATATTAGTGTACTATATTTTCTTATTATGTATTAAATTGTTTTTTTTACTATTTAGATAATATCCCGGTGCATCGCACCGGGAAAAATGCTAGTATGTATAAAAGAAAGATACATGTTCGAATTTACAATATTACGGAAAATGACACTATTTTTTTTCCTAACATTGTGTAGTAATATAATAATATTATCCAATTATTTACCATATTGAAAATTATACTACATGAATTTCATGTTATTGTTTTAACTTTTCTTTTTTCTTCACCGGATCCAGTGACAATAATTTTTATAATTTATTTAATTTTTTAAATTATATATTAATTGTAATATAAACTTTCTCATGATTATACTAATAAATTAAGGAACATAAGTTAAATTTAATCAATTGATAAAAAAAATTTATTTTATATATTTCAAAATATGACAATACTATTCTAAATCTTCAGTATTAAATTCGTTTATTCACTTTATTTAATACCAAACATTAAGAATATCAATTGTTTTGTTTAAAATATATACCATATTCTACTAATAAGTATTTCTCTATAACTTTGATATATATAATTAAGTACATATCTAGAGCAACTCCAACTCAAAAGTATCAAAATGATTTTGCAAATATTTATGTGATATTTAATATGCTCTAACCATAGGTATTAAATGGTTGTTAATTAATAATAATTAAATTGATTTATATATCTAACTGGCACATGTCATAATCTAAATGGACACTGAGGTGGTTAAATTCATAACTCATGTTTGATATTTTATTCCGCATAAAGTATTTTTAAATTCCATCAAAATACATTCCTTAGTTTATAACTCTATTGGATTTAAAATTACTATTTTTTAAGTATGAAAATTGTGGTTAAAGGGTTTGATAGCCCATTTAATAACCCCACTCGAAGTGTTGTTACTTTTAATAGTTTACATTAACAAATACAATATCAATCGGCAAATCAGTAGTTCTACGATCCATTTTTAGTTACAAACTCAATAAGATATTTATATATTATATGAATGAATACAATTATATAAGAAGTAATTGCATAATTATGTGTGAGTCATTGAGTCTTTCCAAATCGAGAAAGTTTGATGCAATATTGTTGCTATGGATGGAAAAAGTTATCAAATTTCAAGTATCATAGTACACCAATAAAAAATTATCTAACAAATATCAAATTAGTGGTTATCATTTCATTTGGTAGGATATTGGTACCATATTGAAATTATACGAGATTTACTACAATCCATTATAGTGTGGATAAAGATATAGACATACTATCACGTAAAAAAAATGTTTAGCTACAAAATTCTGACTAATTTCTAAAATTAAAATTTTAAATCATAGGAAAATAAAAATATTAATGTAGGGTATTATAGCGTAAATAATTGATTATAAAATATTTTAACACCGTATATGTCTCACTATATTTTTATATTGGAATACATTGATTTTTTTTGTCTAACTTACAAGTTATGTATGTAAATTAGTGAAATATACTTAAGTTTTCTATTTCCCCATCATATATAATAAGATATATTTTTTTTTTAATTTACATTTTAAAAATATTTATAAAATAAAATTATTTATTTTATAATGTTTATAAGAATCTAATATCGATTCTATATCTCTATTTTTTTTGAAATCACAATACATTCGACTGATTTAAACAAAAAATCAATTATTTTTATTTTTCCATTTATTATTTAATAAGCATTTTGTAATAACTTTTGTTTACTTGAAATTTGATCTATTTTGATTAGCATCAGCCTTTATGTTAGTTTCTAACATATGATCATACGTGTAAATCAATTTAAGTTGTATATTAACGTGGATAAATTACGAAAACCCCCTGAACTTAGGCTAATTTAAGAAAAGCACTACCCACATATTCGTAATTACCAAAATTTCCCTGATGTTTGTTTTCGTCTTACATCAACCCCCTTACAGTATGACTTTTCACAAAAAAAAAATTATTACCTGAAATATTCCCCGAAAAATGTTGATTCTACCTTGCACACGCGACAAAAATTACCATAAGGGAGACTTTACACGGAATCTTAATTTATTCTTCTTAAATAACACTTTCACAACTTTTTAATATTACAACTACCTCCCCTAGGGTAATTTTTGTATTTAAAAAGTAGGATAAAAGAAATGTCACGTCTACAAGGATAGAATCCACATTTTTTTTTGGATATTACATGGAATAAAAAAGATTCCGTAAAAAATCACACCTTAAGGGGGTCGTGTAAGATAGAAACAAACATGAGGGAATTTTGGTAATTACCGATAAATGGGGGTGTTTCCGTAATTTAGCCAAAGTTCATGAGGATTTTCACAATTTATCCTATTAACAACGATTATTGTTCTTTTTACGTCTTAACGTTTGCTTATACCCTTATAATTTAAATAGTTTTAATGTCAGTTTGATAATATAATTAAATATTAATTTCTAATATATTTAATATGTATTTTTGGATGCTTCAGCTGCTACACATAAGGAAGTTGATATAAAGGTTGCCAGATTGAATATCAATATTTTTTATACAAAATAATAAATCTTAGAATTAGGATTGTAATTAGTATTAGCATTAGAATTATGATTATAATTAATATTCTTTGAATTAGTTAAAACTAGGATTATGATTCGGATTAATATAGTATTAGAATTAGGATAAGGATTATGATTAATAGTAGTATTGGATTTACAATTAAGATTATGATTATGATTAGTACTACAATTAGTGACATGTATTAGTATTATGATTATGATTAGCATTAGGATTAGGATTATAATTAGAATTAAGATTAGAGTTATAATTAGATTAATTAACATTAGCATTAGTATTCTCATAAACATTAGCATTATTAGTATTAGAATTATTAGGGTTAGGATTAGACTTATGATTAGTGTTAGGAATATGATTAGGATTGGAATCATGATTAGTGTTATGAATAGGACAAGGATTTGGATAATATTAGGATTACAATTATAATTAGCATTAGTATATCCAGATTAGCATTAACATAAAATTAGTATTAACATTAGTACATGTAAATTAGCATTAACATTACCAATATTAACATATTAGTATTACTATTATAATTAATATTTGTATTAGTATTACTATTAATATTAGTATTAGTATTAGTATTAGCATTAGCATTAGTATTAGCATTAGTATTAGTATTAGTATTAGTATTAGTATTAGTATTAGTATTAGTATTAGTATTAATATTAGTATTAGTATTAGTATTAATATTGTATTATTATTAGTATCAATATCAGTACGAATATCAATATTAGAATTAATATCACTATTAGTATTAGTATTAGTATTAGCATTAGTATTAATATTAGTATTTGTATCAGTATTAACATTAGTATTGGTATTAGTATTGATATTAGTATTAATATCAGTATTAATATTAGTATTTGTAGGATTACAATTAGTAATAGTATTAGCATATGTGGGATTACAATTAGTAATAGTAATAGTAATAGTATTTGTATTAGTATTAGTATTAGTATTAGTATTAATATTAGTATGAGTATGAGTATCAATATTAATATCGATATTAGTATCAATATTAGTATTAGTATTAGTATTGATATTAGTATTAATATAGGTATCAATATTGGTATCATCATTGTTATCAATAATGGCGTATGCATCTTATCTCTTTTGCAATATTTATAAGTTGTATTGTTGTTTGAGTAATGTACATCACTAATTGAACGCCGTTAGTGATAAACTTGCAGGTTATTTGAATATCTATTGTGTTACTTCTCTGCTACCGTATTGGTTGTTAAGTTAGTTACTTTGCAGAAGATTGACATGGTGTAGTAGTTTGCATTCCACGAAATAGAGTTATACCATATGTTTTAAATGATTTCACTTAATCTTTATATCGTGTTTTGCGCTCTTCGCGTTTTTTTCTTTGTATATTTAATTGAATTTCATATGTTACAACTTTGAATTAAGAGATAAAGTTTAAATTTTTTTTTTTATTTCCTTTCATTTTGTTTTACTTGAATTCGTGACGTTATAAAGAGATAATCGTTTCCAAATTATTATTTTTTCTCATTTCAAAACTGAATTTATTGCAGTCAAGGGGGTATTTGATGGTTTCAATAGTTTAGAGGGGTATTTGGTACAATGAGTATACTTTAGGGGGTATTTGATATTTTTTAAAGTTTAGGGGGTGTTTGATACATATGGTATAGTTGAAGGGTGCAACAGAAGAATAAAACCCTCATAAGCTTCTCTCACTTCTCAGTCCTTTTTCACTACTCACTTCTCTCTCTCTCTCTGTCCACATTAATGGATTCTCTCACTCTCTTCTGCACCGGCTCTCTATTAGCCGGCGGCTTGTTCTGGTTCATCTGTATTCTCGGCTCAGCCGAACAGAAAGGAAAGCGCGCCGTCAACTTATCCGGCGGCTCCATATCAAAAGACAACGTCCAGGACAAGTACGATCAGTACTGGTCTTTCTTCCGCCGCCCTAAAGAGATCGAAACGGCGGAAAAGGTGCCCGATTTCGTCGACACATTCTACAATCTCGTCACCGACATTTACGAGTGGGGCTGGGGCCAGTCCTTCCACTTCTCCCCCTCGATTCCGGGCAAATCGCACCACCAAGCCACGCGCCTCCACGAGGAGATGGCCGTCGATCTACTCAATGTCAAGCCGGGATCCAAAATCCTCGACGCCGGCTGCGGCGTCGGCGGCCCGATGCGCGCGATCGCCGCCCACTCGGGGGCCAACGTCGTCGGAATCACAATCAACGAGTACCAGGTGGGGCGTGCGCGGGCGCACAACAAAAAGGCAGGGCTCGACGCGCTCTGCGAGGTCGTGTGCGGCAACTTCCTCGAGATGCCGTTCGGGGACAACACATTCGACGGTGCGTACTCGATCGAGGCCACGTGTCACGCCCCCAAACTGGAGGACGTGTACGGCGAGATCTACCGGGTCATGAAACCCGGATCCATGTACGTGTCCTACGAGTGGGTCACAACCGAACTGTACGACGAAAATAACCCGGAACACGTGGAGGCCATACAGGGTATCGAGAGGGGGGACGCACTGCCGGGGCTCCGGAGCTACAGCGACATAGCTGACGTGGCGAAAAGGGTCGGGTTCGAAGTGGTTATGGAGAAGGATTTGGCGAAGCCACCGGCCAACCCGTGGTGGACCCGGCTGAAAATGGGTCGGATCGCGTACTGGAGGAACCACATTGTGGTTACAGTACTCGCGTGGCTAGGAATTGCTCCAAAGGGTGTTGTGGACGTGCACGAGATGCTATTTGTGACGGCGGATCACCTCTCGAAGGGGGGCGAAACCGGAATATTCAGTCCGATGCATATGATTCTCTGCAGAAAACCTGAGACTAATTAATTGATAGTAGTATTGAAGATGGTTAGTTTGGTGTTGCCTTGGTGGTTGTTATTATGTTTTTGTTTTTTCGTACTTAATTTAGTTAAGAGTGTTTTATGCATGGTTGCTTTTCGAAAATGTGGACTTGTGTTTTTGTCTAATTTATTGGAGTAGCTAGATTGGTCTGTATCATGGAAGAAAGTTTCATCAATTAATTTAATTTTGTGAACTTGTCTTTTGTTGTTGATTTTACAAGTTGATGAATGGGAGAATAGGACAGCCTAACCTTAAAAAAAGAAGATGAGAAAAATAGGATGTTTGTTGATGCTTTTGGTTTTGGTGTGATATTTGAGGGGTTGGCAGGCATTTAAGATGATGATGAAGTAGTGTAGGTGACACTAAAAATTTATACTTCATTCAAACCTACTAAATATTAAGGAAGATTTCTGAATATACTATAGTGTATAGTTTTATTATTTATGAAATAAATATGTGGTGGCAAATGGCAATGGCATGTGCTCTTTACTTTTGTGAGATTGTACAGTTTAATTTAACTACTTAGTATTAGCAGATCCATCTCACCGGCCAGTAAAGTGGTAAATTGTGTGAGCTGGTAAAGCTGAATTTCAAGTACCAAATTGAGCTGAATTTCACGTTGTTGTACTGTTTGTATATTATATATAATAGTATATTTTCATGTGTCGTGACAGATCATATATATTCTCATCAAAACATGTTTTTCTAGTACTCTACACTATTATTATTATCAACTCTGTACTTGTCACTACTTGTATCTATCTGTCTTTATTAACCTTCACACTACAATAATGATTGATACATTAATTAATCATCATTCACCCCTGTCTCACTACTCTTCTGAATTTCCTTTTCTAATTAATTCCTCTCTTAATTACTTTCATTCTTTCCCCCATTTTTCTTTTTTTTTTTTAAACTTTACTGGATCCATAAAATCTAGGAGGATCCATTGAAGAAAATTATGAGCCTGTTAATGCTTTCAGCCCTATGCTTATTATACCTATCGCCCCACTTACAACTTAGCTTTGTCCAATTGGGTTTTGTAGATACTACACCCGGTGAAATACATTAGGTGATCATGCACCAATAATCGACACGACAGATAATAATAAATAACACACATATCAAATGTGTATGTGTAATTACTGGATAGCTATTTTTATAAAATTTATGGTGCAAAATCACCCGATACTTTTCACCATGTGTAGCAGCATCTCATAGACGAGAGAGAGCCTATGAACAGAAATAACAATCTGCTAATTCTTACAACATTATTCGATTTCTTAAACTAAAATAAGACGTACTTATTCACAAGGAAAACTATTAACATATTTTCTGAGCATATTACATTATTCTTTTAAACTTAATTTTTATATTTATACTAGTATTTAACAAAACAGAAAACATTTCTTAATAGAACTTGTCATCAGGTAACTCGAGTTTTGAGGAATCAAATCTTGAGCACCTAATAATGATTATCAAATTCATTTCAAGATTGCAATTAATTAATTAATTATGGGTTGCTAATCAAAATATATTACTCAATCTACCAACAAATAGAATGACTCTGTTTATAACTAATTAATGATTGGAACAGGCTGTAAGCATATATCATTAAGTCATACATATTCACCAATTCACAAAATGCTATCTATATATTTGGTCCACCAAATATGAGTGCAAACCAATCAAGCAGTTTTAAATGCCTCTTGTTCTTCAAAGTTGTTTGCATTTCGTTTAGTTTGATAAACAATGGAGTCGAACTCCAACAAGTTTTAATTGGACCTAATACGAATCGAGCGAGAGTGGCTCGATTCTTCTTACATACTTTATGAAAACAAAAAAAAAAACAAAAAAAAAACTCGAGCTCGAGTCAAACTTCGTAGTTAAAACCTTCCGCATATATAACCCTCTCACCGACTTAGTACTCGTACATAATATAGTTAGAGTTATACGCGTTGTTCGTTACAGCAGTCACCGCAAATTGTGCATTAGCATGTGAGCCCTCGGAAAACTTCATAAAATGAAATGAATAATCTATATATAAAATTTAATCAACTACTAATTGCTTAATTAGATTAATCAAGGGGTGCTCTGAATGTCATTGTCACGACTTTAACATTTTATATGCTTTCTTTTATAGTTCAGGTGTGTACCCCTTTTTTTCTTCTTTTTAATTTCATTGTATATTAGTACATGTTAATACTCTAGTTAAGTAAACTATCAGCTTGCAATCATACTAATTGATAACTATAAGTCGTAATTAATTAAGTGAAACTCGCTTAATTTATTTATTTCTTTTTGGCATTTTATTCCCTATAAATAAATACTTCTCAGTTCTCTTCTCCCTACCGTACATTAAAAAAAAGAGAAAGAAATTAACTAGAAAATCGGGAACCACCAAATCGGAATTAAGTGAAGATGGCAGAAGAAAAGTTAAACCGTAGAAGGGAATATTCCAGACACTTGAGAGGCGGCGGGAGAAATCAAACCGCCAACATCTTGGAGGCGATTGCGCAGCTCAGCGGCGGCGCGGCTGAGGGCGGCGGTGGGCAGCAGCCGCGTACGCGGATGAAGATTTTGGTGAAGAAGGAGGATTTGAAGCAAGTGATGGATGCCATTAGAGACGGGTGCGGCGTTGTCCGACGGCCGCCGCCGTCTGGGGGGGCGGGGTCGTTGGAGCAGCGGCTGAATTGGATGCGGCGGAGGCAGATTATGAGACAAATGAAGGCCGCCGGTAAAAGCCGACTGGGTTCATGGAGACCCGTTCTTCAAAGCATACCAGAAGAACAACTATAACTTCATTATTACTCTCTACTAATTTATTGTATTTATTTATTTATTTATTTATTTATTTTAACTCATTCTTATGCATGTGTGATAAAAATTACAAAATTTATCTTACTAAATTACATTCTTACCCCCCATTAATTAATTAATTAATGTTGTACCATGTTTAGTTTGTGTGTGTTCTGATGAGTACTGTAAATGTAAGATCAGAAATATATATCTGCAGATTAAATTTTCATACATGACGACGATTGGTATTACTACATCAATTAATTATTGCAATAATAATAATAATAATAATAATATTGCTATATATATAATAAACTAGGTCATGAGTTTGAAAGCTTATCAACAGCACACGTATAATTAAGTAACAACACCCGGCCAGCTGGATGATATATATATCTCAGTCATGAATACAAAAACAAAATGTCAATGAATTATATAATCCTTTACACCAATCTATATAATATATAAATTGAAACCCTCATAGCCTAGAATTACGACATGTGTCATCCATGTCACCATCCACGTAGGCATCCTAATCATGCTCCATGTGTCACTACATATTACATATATAATGTCCATTTAATTATAACTTTCCATAATCAGATATAAGAATATATTAAAAATATATGTATATATTTCCATAAATATATAATACATAAATGACATTTTTTATGACAATTACATATTTCCTTAATATTATATAGGTTATTATGGTAATCATTAATTTTGTCATCTAATACCAATTAAAATCCGTAATATATATGTAATTATATATTATAATAAATGACATATTCCGTAATTATATATATATATATATATATATATATATATATATATATATATATATATATATTATGATAATCATTAAATGACATTTCTTTAACTATGGTTAATTTGTAAACATCACACTATTTTAGTAACAATATATTTCTCAATCCATAATATATTCAATTATTATTATTACATTCTAAAATGAAATAATTTTAATTGTATCAATTTAATGCATACAATTGATTTCCTTAAATATGTATACTATTTACCTTTTATTACGTAAAACATAAGTATAAATACCTCTTTTTTTTTTTGATAGAAAAGTAAGTATAAATACCTCACTCCACATCCATTATTTCTCATTCATATAACAAAGCACACGGTAAGAAAAAAGGTTGTATACTCTAATTCCATTCTTTCATTATTTTAGTTAATATTCGATTAGTTTATACCGTAATTTTCGATTGTTTATACCCTATATATATATTTTGTATGGTTTTTCGTTTAATAGTTACCAATTTCCTTTATCTTTCATACTTAATTGTTAATTTTATTTTTTATTAGATGTTCGAATTAGGTCGTTTGCGGAAAGATTTATCTTCCGAAATTTATGAAGGAATGCAAGATGTGGTACTACAAGGAGACATGAAAAAGTCTGATATCGAAATAATGCCGCACTTTTTAACTAAGTTAACAAGTCGACGTGTTTATTCATACCGGAAAAAACGTAAGTGCATATTTAACTAAGTTAACAAGTCGATGTGTTTATTCATAAATCATTTCTTTATACATGTTTTTTACATTGTTGGTTATTAGTACATTAACCAGTTTTAATTCAGTTACAAAATCGAGATGATCGTGATGGATGACACAAATGTTGCATCATTCATCGCCTTTGGCAAACAAGCGGAAAAATTAGTCAGTGTTGATGTTGGAGCTTTAATCCGTATCATGGAAGAAAGAGTAAGTAATTAAATCTATCTAAAAAATTATAACACATTTTTACATGTCTATTAATGAGATATATAAAGAACCATAAATATATATTCTTAAGATGTGTATTACTTTTTCGGCCCCATTATTTAGGGTGAAGATCCTAATGAATATCCTGCTGAACTCGATGGATTGATTGATAAGAAGTTTCTGTTCAAAGTCAATGTCAAGCACAATAACATTGATGACCCTGAAAATTCTACTTATAGTATTCTAACAGTCTGCAACGACAGTGCTATTACTGATTCATTCATCAAAAAGTACCAGTTGGATGAGGTATTAAATTTAATATTGTTTTCTCCAACATATTTTTAATTTCTTATATCCTATTAAAATATATTTTTAATTTTAATGTGTATATGCAGCAAGTTAATACTACTTCACCCCATGCAAGTGTCGATGATAGTTCTTCAGTCTGTATGTTGTCATCAAAGGTTGGTAGTATTCCAATTTACTAAAACATTAGTATTAATTAATTACAGTTCATTCAATTGTATTTTATTAATGGATTATGTAACATTTCAATATAGGAAAACGAGTCCTTAACTGTTTCGAAGGATTCAATTTTCGATTCATCGGCAGTTGAAATCACTCCAATAAAGAGAAGTTTGGATTTCAGTCTTGATTCGCAAGAGGATGAGAATACCCCAATGCATTCGACCATTGTTCTCTTGAAGAAGATCAAACAGGAAAAAGTGGAATAACAACCTTGGTTTTAAGCATTACTTATTGTTTCCTTTGACATACTTTTTTTTCTGTGGAACTTAGTCCGTGGTTTTATTCACTAAGACCTTTTATTTTTTTGTTTTTTTGGGTATTTTGCACTATTTATTTATTTGAATTAACATTTAATATTATAATCAATAATTCTATTTGTTAGATTTCTTTTATATAATTCGTAGAATGTTTTTATCTCAAATCACTAATGTGTCTTTTACTCCATTTAATCCGTTAAAATACAAGTGCTATCTCTCCTCTCTAATTTTTTCCCCTTTTTTTTTCGTAAAAAAATTGTTTTTTTACCTACTGTTATATGTTGTTTATATAAAAAGTTCTATCAAAATAATAAATACTATTATATTCTAAATAGTATAAAATAATATTTTTTTTAATTGGATAATTCTGTTAAACAATTAATCAAAAGAAGTGCTCGAAACAAATAATTTAAGAGAAAACAACCAAATAAAATAGCATACATTTAGTTAAATAAATTTACTAAAAAAAACTAAAACAATATATTTTTTTTTAATTATTTAACCCAATTCAGTTTTATTTACGCTACTAAAAATTTAATGGCAAATATATGTATTACCATTAATTTAATAACAAAATTAAATTAAAGCAAAGATAATAAAAATAAATTAAAACAAAAATAAGAAAAAAAGATAATAGCAAAATTAAACCGGAAAATAAGTCCGAATTGAAATTTAATAACAAAAATAAATTAATTATATCTTAATACTTAAATCCTAAATTTATTACCCTAAATAAAAATCAGCAATAAAAAATAGTTAACATATCATAAAGTACGAGTAGGAATTCTAATGTGATCTGACTACTGTCTACATTAAGAATAGTAAATTAATCATGGTTTAGTATTAATGGAACAAACGTAAATTATGGATGTAGTAACAATGTGAAATCTAATTTAAAATTTACGATGAATACTCCTAATTTAGGAGTATTCAATCTTTTAAAGATGGGTCCCACTAAAAATCTAATTTAGGAATATATTTACTCCTAATATATTCTTATATAAATAAGATATATTATTAACTAATTGATTTCATGCCTTACATATCTTGCAAATTATATATTTAGTTGTTATTACAATCCACTAAATACGGGAACTTGCCAATTAATTAGATCTTAATAAATCATTCTATATTAGTCGTAATATTTGAAGATTTTATGGTATTAAATAGATTTAATAACAATATTGCAATTATATAAATACGCTACTTCATTTTGTTGTATCACATTGTAATCTTATTTTTTACGAATATACAATCAAATATGAGAAGAAAACGCCCCCCCCCCCCCCCCCCCAAAGAATGTTTTTAACCAGAACAACATTCATGATACAAAAGCTGCAAGGACAAATCGCATAAATTATATTCGAAACAAGAGAACATTAACACCGGCGAAAGGTAACAAATACTTTGTTGTTTGCAAATAAATTCGTGAAAATTGTTTCTTTATGGTGTATATTCACAAGTTTTCATTTTACTAATCATGTTATTAATATTTCACTCTAATATGGGTCTTACTTGATAGATAAATCAAATAATGAGACCATGAAGGAGTTTCAATCGAACCATGGTTGCGTAAATGGAACCAAAACTGTGGGATTGTGCTCATCTAATATTATGAAAACACCAACCACAACAAACAGTTTAATTATATCTGCTATGACAAATGGTTAGTATCATTTTTTATTTATTTATGTATTTTCTATTTTTGTTAATTTGTATTTATATATTGTCACGATGTGTTTACTTACGTTTGTTATACATTAATATATTTACCATTAGATGTAATAATACTTTTAATTTATTCATACAGATGATGGATACACCCATAATATGCAAACAAATAGAAATGACAAGGGAAAAAGGCCAATGGACCCCTCAGGTCAATTAAATTATGCATTAATATGTTCGGTTAATACAAATGTCTGCTTCAAATATCATTTAACAATGTACAATTAATAAAAGTTAGTATTGGGCATCCTTATTATATATATTCCGATAATACACATAAGAATTTTCGAAAAAAAATGCAGGTTCTTGCGGAATTTCAATCGATAAATCAAACTTTTACAACACAGATGAGTTTCGATCCAGGCAGAGAGCTGGAATTCGATTCAGAGATCTTGAATTATATACACCAAATAACCCGACATCACCAACTACACCCACAAATTTAATTATATCTGATATTACAAATGGTAATGATTAATTATTATATTCGTAGTTTACATACATTCCATGTTACTTAATCCCCTTACATTTTTTAATATGAATATATCAGTATTAAATGAATTTAAATTATTACTATGATGTGTTTCAGTAAGTAGAACTGAAAGAAACAATGGAAGAGTTGTGAAGGATGTCGCAGTAACAGGTACGAACAACATTACCATTTGTAATGACGAAACTCAAACTTTAGTTATATTATTTATATATATATATATATATATATAAATAATATAACTATAGTTTGAGTTTCGTCATTACAAATGTGGCGTAATTTAATATATAAATTATAATGAAGAATTACATTTTTATATTATGTAAACAGATTTGGAATACACTGTCAGCAAAAAGAGAGTTGCCCAGTATAAAGGAAAAACTCGAACTCTAAATGTTAAAAGTATGTCAAATACAGATACAAATGACAAAAAAAGCTATAAGAGAAATCGTGAGGTGACATATAACAATGTTGCAGCAAATTGTGAAGGTTTGCACTCTATTAATTAATTATCATCATTAGAAGAATTATTCAAAATTTTCTTACGGATGTCTTTAATAATATTTCCAACAGATGCTAATTCGTCGAGATAGATGGGTTACATAGCATTGGCAGTGTGCAAAATATTTCTGCTAATACATACTACGAAACCAACAAAAGGTACATTTCGTAATATTTACGAAACACAACATTAATACAATTATATAACACATTTGTATTTAATATGTTACCATATCCAACATTGTAAAAGTATAATATTTTTTTATTCATTGAATAATTTACAGTTCTTCGGTTCGTACCGGATAGATGATATCGAAGAGTCAAAAAACCATACATTCTGTTGTACGTGACTTGGATATGGATTCAAAATTTGTCACTTTGGTCGATGAAGATTTACAGACTATACGGGAAATTACTTCGGACAGTGGAGGTATGTGTTATAATTTCAATCACATTTGTCACGTAAAATTCGTCTTGAATAAATTGTTCATAATAATCAATTGATATCA